CTAAGAAAAGTAGAATTGATTGATGGCTGAAGATGTCATCCGGTTGCCTAGATTCTCAGCGTAGGTACAGTGGCGTTAGAACGCTTGATTGATCGGTTTGAAGTCGAGTAGCCTCGACCAATAAGCCATAGTTTACCACACAAGAGCATATCATGATTACAGATATGAAATTTAAGATAGAAATAGTATTCATCTTGGTGACTAACAGTGGAATCCAGGACGCATGTTTCACCCTATCTCCAACTCGTCAGGTGGATATTTAAGGATGCATTATATAGATTATCAATCATTTGAAATAGTTCTTTTGAAGCTAAAAGGTTAACTTCTCATCTTGTTAAGAAGCTTTATTAATATTATTATGAGTATGGCCGTCACTTATCACTCACGTTTCTATATATATGTGTCGCCTGGTTAACTAGTTCATTAGTTACTAGCCTGTCTTAAGCCCGGGTAAAGAGGGAAGGTTGGGCATAGGGCTAGCAACCCTACCCCTTAAAACCAATCCAACCGCTACAGAAACTTCAAAGCACAAACAAAATATAAAAAATAAAAACGAAAATTATTCCTCGCTGGAATCGCAGAGGCGAAAGGACGCCGGTTGGTGAAAGCCTTCGGGAAGCCAATTGGCCGATGGTAGAAAAAGTAAACATAGGGACATCGAATGTCCTCACAATGTGTGAAGCTGGCTGGCAAGGCTGCCCAGATTGCAAGAGAAATGAGAAGGTATAGCGTAGAAGTGATAGGAATATGCAAAATCAGATGGAATGGAAGTGGACTCTCCAAACTGTCAACTGGAGAATCAATAATCTACTCCGATGTTGTCACCCAGACGACAGCCACGAGCACACTGAGTTTTGGAGTGGCTATCATGATGTCCCCTTCAAGAGCATCGAAGGCTCTCATGCAGTGGGAACCAGTCTCCTCCGGGATTCTGACAGCAAGATTCAACTGAAAAGGAAGGAAAGTCACAATCATACAATGCTATGCACCTACAAATAATGTCGATGAAGAGAAAAAGGAGGAATTCTACAGACAACTGCAATCAACACTGGACAAGACCCCAGTTGGTGATATCAAAATTCTATTGGGCGACATGTTCCATTAGGAACCCAAGGGGTAAATAAATAATAATAATAATGTTTGATAAGAAATGGTTTCAGTGCTTAGTAATCTTCCTCAATAAGTCTTTCAATATTTTCATAGAGAAAGACGTTCAGCACAAAGAGTTACTCTTTTCAGCAATATCATCCTCAAGCTGTAAACATTGTAACAGAAAAATGTTTCGTGAAATATTTTGGAACAGAGTTCAGTCATGATTAAAAATCAAATTACAATAGAAATTACGTAGTGTTTGAAATAGTGATGAAAAGAAGACTTACCAAGATTGGACTAATATTTGCTTACTAAGTTAGATGATGTAATATGGTGAATGCAAAGAGAAATTAGAATTATAGGAGTGGAGGAATATAATATATGAGAGGATGTGAATGAAGAGGTTTTTGAAGGTGGAAATGTTCTTATAGGTTGTGTCCATTGTAACTCGAGTAACTGGACAATATTCTTTTGAACACAGAGTTCAGACTTCAAAATATTAATTGCCATAGCTTCCGCAGTTTGAAGGAGTTTTTGGCGTACACCTTTCATGAGATTTGTGCGAACTCTGTAGATAACACTAAAGCTGTTTTCTGCACTTACCGGGTAGTCATAATCGATCAGATGTTCTAGAATAGAACTGTGAACTGTTCTCCTTTCCCTATTGTAGAACCAGGCTGCCATGTGCTTGAAAAGCGAATGCTGAGTGCACCCGATAGCGGTCATCCAAACATATGTAGAATGAAATAATCAATGCGTGTAGTTATACATAATGACTGACCGACTGGACTACAATCAACGTAAAACTTCGCACTTTAGTGCAATGACTTAAGCTGCCAGACTCCATAGTAGTACACAAAGAACAGATGAATAGAAAAGAAGTGATATCAAAGTGGACAAAATTGTGTAAGAGAATACACAATCTGAACATAAAGCTTAGGGCAACCGATAGCTGCTACTTTGACGTGTTGGTGAAAATGTATCTTATTGTTACTGTCATCACATGTATTAAATGATTATTTGTTCAGTATATACACCGATACTAAATTCTAGAAGAATATTGAATACGCTTAGCTGTTTTAGTGCATCAGAGACTTTGGTGATTGATAATGGCTCGTAGTTTGATTATACATCGTTTGAGGATTTTCATCAATAAAAAATTAACTGGATGAAAAGTTATCTGTTATTTAGAAGATTCTTAGGAATAATGAATACCCAGAAAGATTTATTCTGGAGTATTTAAGAGAACATATTGAAAAGCTCAAACATTCAACTGGTTCGAATAAGTCGGTTTTTATTTATTTGGCATGTAAGGGAGATGAAAAAGAATAGACAAGCAGACTAAAAAGTGCATTGGAACAAAGCTTTCCTTCTGCTAGAGTGATATCAGTTTACACCACCATGTTCTCACTGAGTCAGTCTAAAGTAGATAAGTACCCTTCTCATATCAACTGTTAACAGAATTTACCAATTCATATACACTTGTGCAAGCAAGCACATAGAAAGGAACATTTGTTCTTAAAAGCATGCAAAGTTTATGCAAGTGCAGAGAACCAAACAGCTTATGAAAATCGGTCTCCTAATAGCTATCTCCAAAGCCCTAAGGATAATAATTAATCAAAATTGCCTAGTTCACTACTTTATGTGGAACTCTTTGCAATCACACATTTTAAACCTGTTCTTGGTACACAAAAAGACGGTGAATAATTTTTATGTATCCTGGTAATTTGGTATTCTTTTGACTTGTATCTTGTTTTCCTTTTCACCTGGGGAGTGGTAGGTGCAGGAAGAGAGTGTTAGTTAGTTAGTTAGTTAGTTAGTTAGTTAGTTAGTTAGTTAGTTAGTTAGTTAGTTAGTTAGTTAGTTAGTTAGTTAGTTAGTTAGTTAGTTAGTTAGTTAGTTAGTTAGTTAGTTAGTTAGTTAGTTAGTTAGTTGGCAGGAAACTGTGGACTTTATTTTCTTGCATTCTGACAATCATCACCTGCAATCTCAAGGATTTGAATGTCCACTCAAAAACTCGACCCCACCCCATCCAATACTGAAGTTAGCGACGCTACCACTGAGCCACGCGACTGGTGACTGACATCATGTAAGACTAGATTAGACACAATGATTGGTCACTTTAGAGTAACCAAATTCATGTTCTCTAGTCGCAAGTCCTGATCGAATTCTATCGATCATTTTGCAATGTGGCCAGCAGGATAAATGACTCAACATCATCATGAATTTTGGTAGATGTTAGCTGGATGGAAGCAACCAGCAGAAAACCTCAATTGACCTACGTTTCGTACTTTATGGCTGAGTTACCTAGACAATATGAAGTTGGGTTACCCTTCAGTGATCAATCAATGCTTCAACATTTCTACAACCAATACATACCGACAGATTGTTCCAGAAATTGTTTCAGATAACTAAAAGTGACCATGCGAAGAAATTTGTGCACTGATTGTTTATTTTTAGGACTGAGTGGTTAGAGTGTATGATATCTACCTCGCAGATTCTTCGCATAGTTAGAAATCACTGAAACTATTCACAACTTACCAGCACACTGCAAAAATTACACAAAACTTTTTAACTACTTATTTAAGTTACCGATTCAGTAGTTTCACAAGATTAATGATTAAAGGTTTTCTTGAAACATCAAGCTCTTCTGTGAACGATTGAAGCTGATCTGTCCCATGAGGAGAAATGTAGACTTCACCGTTGGTGTTCATATGATCGGAGCCTGTAGGTTATGTGCCTCAGAATTGATCTCATAGGTGCAGATGTATCCACTCACTATCTTCGTCATATCGAATTTGATTACTGTCTCACTGCTTCTTGTTCTTTCTCCACGACTTTCTATCCATTTTGACTGCTTTCTTCATTTCTATCTCTTTTATTTTGTTGCATATCCTTTAGGATGAGCTGATATTCTGGTGTGGCAACTTTGATCGTTATATAGTAATGCCAGGTCACTTGTGGATGTAATCTGTCTGCGTTTAAATGAACTTTCTTAATGAGTCTTCCAAGACATGAGCAGCTGACAGGTGTATAAACAACCACCTGTACACCGTCATCAGTACTGAAATTCCATCTGATCATCAACTTCCTTCGTTATTTTCTTCTAAAGCATAAAGCGGACAGCTCCAGATATCATCGTGATTTCTTGAATTTCGATAGGTATAGAACAGCGTTCTTTCAATGTCTGACTTACTGGTTTGAAGTTAAATGTTTTGTTTTCAACCACAATTTTTAAGATCAATGATAGCCTCTTATCAGTATCCTTGAGTTCAGACGAGAATCTCTTTCAGATATCTCAATGAGTACATCGAAATTGTAAAAGTGTGGATGATTCGATGATTAACGGCCTAGTTGGAAGACCCTAAGGTCAAAGGTCACATTATATATGTAGTCGGCATTGTATTTTTCATATGAAGGCCTAAACTTAGCTTTCATTGGTTTTCAACAGTTCTCTGATTGAAGTTAAATATCTATCACTACCTGTTGATTGCTTAATTTAGTATCTACTTATTAAGGTAGCATCTATCATAGACTGACATTAGTTGGAGAACAACTGAAAACCGAGAAGGCATTGGACAGCTGTTTCGTGCCAGTGTGGGACTCCTCAGCAGTACGCACTCATGACCTGGCTGGGGGTCAAACCTAGGGTCTTCGGGTTTCATGGAAAAATCGCTAACCATTCAACCACTGGCTCGAAGTCATGTACTCACAACTGGGCTAGAGACTGCTGAGGACTCCATATACTAGGGTGAAATAAGCATGGAGTTCTCCGAGGTTTTCAATGACTCTCCAACTCAAGTCAGTCTGTGAGGAAAATACATTTAGTTATTACTAACACTAGCTGTATGAGCTAAGCTTCCTCTCAGTTGACAGCTTCATTTATATAACTCTTTTATCCACTTTAGAAACGCTTAACTCTATTACAAATTCGTCAACAAACCTGGTGTATACAAGATCCATCACCACCGATATCAGTGGAGAAAATCAAGATGAAACTATACAATAACTTATCATCTCAGTCAAATGATACTGTGTCTAGACAAACATGTACTATGAAACGACGTGGTACAATCTGTTGGCTTGATCCATTAATTTACTTGCGTAGATCTAATGCAGAATATCCACCACCGCATATAGATGATACAGGAGCTAGGATATTCAGTATCGAAGAAGTATTCAATGATCCAACAATAATTCTAAAACATGAAAATCCTACAGATCAAGAGATATCTTCTAAACCTGTCAATGATGATGTTGTTGAGAATCTTGAGGATGCTATTGCACCATTTTCAGTAATTGATCGTTTAAAGGTATGTCAATGATTAGTATTATTTGATGCTTTCACATTTTAATGATAAAATACTTTTCAACTAGATGAAATAAAAACGTATTTCAATTTTTTTTTTAAAGTGTTTATTAGTGTATTGTTTTGTTTGCATGTTATTGTTCTTTTGTTTTCAGCACTTGGCACATCAGAGTGTATCATTCGCTTATATAGAAGGTATTGTAGTAGATTGTAATTTCGTTTTAGTCGATTTATTAGAATTGTCACACAGTTATAATGAACAAATCTGACTAAAGTGAATAAGTATATAGAAACAGGACTATATGAGGAAATTAAGAAACCATTGTATACTATTATGAATAAGGTTAAGAAATCGACAGGGGATCTGATACGCCGGATGTAGCCGTTTCTAGGGGAGTCAAAATGGTTTAATTTAATGCCGAAAACTAATAATCGTGAGCTAACAGAAGTTGGAAATATGGAGCACTGGAATCTGACCCAGTGGCTCAATGGTAACGCGCTGGCCGCGGAACCTGAACGTCGCGGGTTCAATCCCTGCTGGTGAGGTCGTGGGTGCGCACTGCTGAGGAGTCCCGTACTAGGACGAGACAGCTGTCCAGCGCTCCTAGGTTTCCTTTGTTCCTCCAGCTGATGTCAGTCTACGATGAATAACAACTTGAAATAATCTCAGTAGAATGTAAGATACTATTAAGATTCATAAGCCAGGTTATCCTATCATGGCTAGAGCAGATTTTAGAAACACTCCAACTTACGAGTTGTCTTAATATTTAGCAATGGTGTTAGGCCTAATAAGAAATCACTCAAAATTCCAACTTACCGACTTTTATTGACTTAAAGCGCAGATTAAATGACAAACACTTAGATGACAATGAAAAAAAATGGTTAGTTTTGACATAACTAGCCTTTACAAAAATATATCGATCGACATAGCAGTTAGAAATGGGCTTCAGGATGAAAATGAGCTTACGCATTGAACTAAGGTGCCGATCGATGAAATTATACTAGGAGTACGACTGTACCTAACATCTACAGTTTTTAATTTTGAAAATGAAATCTATAAACAAACTGAAGGTGTTCCCATAGGATCACCAATATATCCCACCGTCGCAGACATATTTATGGATAGTTGGGAATAGATTGCCCTTCAAACATTTAGCCCTACTCCAATGACATGGTTTCGGTATCTAAATGATAAGTTTGCAGTAGTGAAATCGGAACACATCAACAGGTTCTTGACACATAAATTCAGTAGTGAATGCAATCCAATTTACTTGTGACTTAGAAGATGATGAAGGTGAACCAGCAATATTGGATTACAAGACTAAACGAAAACAAGACGGAAGTTTAAAGATTAGTGTCTATGAGAAACCTTCCCATTCGAATCACTACTTAGACTTCAAATCATCTCACCCCATCACAGTTAACGTAGGCTTCGTTAAGTGCCTGTGTGATAGGGTGGAAAAGCTTCCTGGTAGGCCAGAAAATCTACAACAGGAAATTAGATACATCAAGAATACCTTGCGTCTCAATAATTACTCATGTGAATTTATAAATCATAAGAAATCGAAAGGAAAATATTAGCAGTGGTAGTAGTGACACAGGTGTAATAATGGTGGTAATAATGGTGGTAATAATAGTGGTGACAGGGTTGAAAGAGAATTCATTCCCCCTATTGTGTTACAATGCAAGGAATTCACCTCAGAAGCATTACGAAGAATTCTCATGAAGGCTAGCTGGGATTAAAGTGGCATTTAAACCAACAAACGTGCTGAAAAAATAAACCTTGTAGGTTGAAAGATCCTGTCGATGCAATTAAGCGAAATAATTTGGTTTACTAAATCTCTTGCAATGATTACGAGTTTAAATACACAGGTCAAAGTAGTCGACCAGGGTTGATTAGAATAATAGACCACAAAACATTATTTAAATTAAGTTCTGTAGATCTAAATAAGATAAGAAATTTACAGAAAAGCTCGGCTATATCTCTAAACGCAATTACACACAATAGGATGGGATAAAATGAAAGCGTTAAAAATTAACTTAGTTGGGTGGAGGAAGGGAGAGATTGATAACCGAATATCTGTTTATCGAATCAAGACGAAATACATGCAGTAATAGAAATGATTCTGCACCTATCTTAGACATATGAAAAATTGTACTATCCTTGTCATCACAGAGAAGGAGAGAAAATTAGAACTGTGTAAACTCTTTCTGAAAGTTGTCGAGCTACCTCACAGGAATATCGACAATAAATTGTGTACTAAACGTAATCCAGTAAATGGTACTAGTCCTTCACTGTGTCATTTCTAATAAACAGATTTTAGTGGTATTTAGAAGTAGTATTCACCATGGACTGACATCAGTTGGGGAACCATTGAAAATCTGGGAGCACTGGACACCTGTTTCGTCGTAGTATGGGACTCCTGAACAGTACTTACCCACGACCCGGCTAGGGATGGAACTCAGGACCATCAACTTTCATGGCAAACGCGTTAACCATTCCAACCTTAACTGATAATAATCGTACTATGCGTTAAACAACGCCTTCTCATGGTAGGTTATTTAATCACATCGATATTTTTTCTTTACACATCTTTTTCCCCCTAGGTATATCATGATGTGGATGACTATGATGATTATTCAAGACTGGAAGATATGTCAAGTTTCTACCACTCACCTGAAGCATGTTTACAATATTCAGGTCTTGAATCGCATCTAGCTAATTTAGGTAAGATGTGATTGCCAAGTTGGTGAATTATTTATTATTGGTGGATTTGTGCTACTCACTAATCGTTAAGTAGTATATCTTTTAAACATGATATTTACATACCTGGCTATTTTCATGCTTTTATTCATACATACTTCAGTGTCAATTTTGATTAAAGTCCCGAGAAAAAGACATATCCTTTCGATGCCTAATTGATCTAGTCATTGTTCATAACAATGACTGGAAAATTACAAATGATACCGGGCTATAAGCATAACTGCGATTTATGAAACTGTAGTTTTACTACTCGGTTTTATGAGGTATCCACTATCGACTTGTTTTCTATTCTTTTCAGTCGCGTAATTTATAGATTTCGCAGAAGATATCGCTCAATCTGTTTTATCATCGGTTTCAAAGCGCAGATATAATAACTAATCGATTACTGTTGACTTGTAGTGTTTGGTAGTGTTTTGACCTATCAAACAGTAGGTCTAAATTCCGCTCAGACATTTATCTGTTGTTTTGTTTTCATGACTTTTGTTGGTGTTGGCAGTCAGTATACACTTACGCATACTCTAGTGTGCCCATGTTTTTGTGTTGATAGCAACAGAGAAAACCATAACCGAGTAACCATTAAAAGAAGAAATTATTATGCTGTACGACTATTATTATTATCGGTAGTATTCTTTTTTATCATTATTTTTCTACAGGTATCGTTTCATGTATTGAGTCGGAACCAGTTTCAAAGCTACAGTCTGCATATAATGCTCCTGGGACTTCTGTACACAACGACAGTTTGAATTACTTATCTCCAGGTAAAATGTTTCATCCAAGCAATAGTCATCCATGCTGTACATGTGATCAGTATATAAGTCAACAACCCGTAAATAGTAAAATTAACCAACATTTGAGTCAGGATGTTTCTCTTCTTCCAGCGTATGAAGCTGCGCATCCAACTATCCAAGGAATACCAACACCAGCTAACTTGAATAATCTACCAGAACCACCAGTCTGCCCAGCAGATTTGCCGATATCTTTACCAACTTCTTCTTTCAAATTGCCTACATTTACAATGGATTCATCCACTGCTTTTCGTAGTGGTAGTCTTCCGGATCCTGTTGATTTGATCCCATCCAATTTAGATATATGTCAAAGAATGCAAAATAGTGTCATTGAATCATTGAATCAAAAAACTTGGCATTCTGGATCTAGACTAAAACACCAACAGAATCTTATCAACTTTAATGGTAATCAACAACTTGAAACAATGTCTAAAGATGTTGATCAAATATCAAGTGATTTCGATACAGATGGTACTGCATCATTTTTTCTTCAAGATAATTTTTCACCTACTACCACTACTATTATTCATACATCTAGAAAGAAAAAAAGTAAGCAACTTATGAAAACTGTTATGAATAGTCAGCCTAGTGGTGGTGGTGGTGTTCAAAGACTTACTCGATGGTTTTCAAATCCATTCAATGTTTTTCGTAATCGAATAAAAAGTCTTAGAAATAAAGATTTATCTATTAGTAATCATCCTTTGCCTACATCATCTATTCATCAACATCGAACTGTGAATAGTGCATCAGAATTAGCTTCAGTAATTGAAAAATATCCTATTGAAGAGGTGATTCAATCAACTGATAGTTTGCCAATAGCAAATTGTGTTCCAAAACCCACTTCACGAATATTCTCCAGCAAGAAATTTAGCTTTAAAAAGTAATCACAATGTCTATTCATCTTCATTCAACTTTAGTATGGTTTAATGTGTGATATTATTTTTCTTTTTTTTGAAAAATCCTATCTGTTTTGTCATTTCGAATCCACTTAAGGATTATCTGATGAAAGCAAAAATAATCAAGCAGTACAACTTATCTGTTCCCAAGTATGTGCGTATGTGTGCGTGTGCATTGATATAATGTTGCATTCCTTAACATCTTCAATACAGACCTTATTTTCTTGTTCTTACCAATTTATTAGTTAAAAGTTAAAATCCCGCTTGTACAATTCACCAGTTAGATTTATTCATATTATCATTATAATCTCAATATTATAAAATTTTGCCTTACTAGTTAATTTATTTGTTTATTTTTCATTGGAAATTAGTTTGTTTTTTTCAATGACCTATCACTTTATCCTTCTGGTTATCCTTCAGTGTGTGTGTGTGTGTGTGCACGCCTAAATGAGAGTGAATTGATTGCCTCATTATTTGTGCACAATGACCATTGTAAATATGTACATCACAAACCTATACATAGTATGTGACTAAAACATTTCATTGACTTGATTGTACAACAATTTTAGCCTTGTTGTTTTGCTGATTTCCAAAAATCTTTTCTTTTCTCCTTTGTTCAATATCTTTTTTTGCCCTAATATGAAATGAGATTGTTTCATGTAATCAATTCATTACGACTCTCTTATCGTGATTATTATTATTATTATTGTTATTTCTTCATTATCCTCTACAAGTTATGCTTCTACTGGTAAGTGTATTGAATTTGAAAAGAGCGCCTGTATACTACATTAGTGCATCTCTTAAATACACAAATATTTTTATACGCACCCTATACTACTTTGTATTTATAAGTAGTGTGTTTTTTTGCTAGAAATTCGTGCTGGTGCAAATAGGCATTATCTGAGGACCACTAAAGTACTTCCAAATCAAACAAAAGTCTGTATTGACACTCCATACGACTGATTAATTTATGGCTAATGACTTGGTGCACATTTGACGATGTAGTCTGGATTTCACGGAAACATGGAACTTAGTTAAACAGTAGTAATTCAGTCGAAGGTTTGTTGGGATTGATGATCATGAACTTCACCCATCACTGGGTCATAGTTTTGCACTACTGAAGAGTCCCGTCCTGGGAAGAAACAGCTGTCCACTGCTTGCAGGTGTCTTATAGTTTTCCAGCTGGCATTACTTCATGATGGATAATACCTTGAGATAGAAGTATTTGAACGTCTGCAACCACTAGTTAACTCCTCATCACCAGTATCGTACTAGTAAACAGTGGTATCCGACTCCTTTCGTTTTCTAATTAAGTTATATGACGAAATGGTAATAATCTAGCCAATATAATTTCCCAGTGGATTGGTACTTCACATCTCTCATACTGTAGATGTCGCTTTTCTCGGTATCTAAAAAAATATAAATAGATTAGGAGCTCAGATCTTAGGCGATATCTGCTCAGTACCATTAGGGCTTGCGACATTTTTTCAATATATTTGATTTTGTTGAGTTATTTCCTTATCTGTGGCATCCGAACTCTATATACCAAGGAAATACAACTAACCTTTTTCAACACCTCTCTGTTGTCACCGATGGAAAGGCTGATTATTACTGGAAAATACTTTAGTGTTGTTGTATTTTTATTCTCTTCAGTATCTTATTCGATATTCTCTGTGAGATTAGCTCCTCCATATGTCAATGCTATGTGTCTGATCTGTCTAGCATAATACAGAGAATTCTGTGGCGTAAGTATTCCATAGGATTTCGCTGAGATCATCACTTCAGGGTGGCAGCTTGAACAAGGGAAAGGATCACTTACACTAGTGCAAAATGATTACTCAGTGCTGCCTTGTACTCTGTCTTATTTCCTGCTTTTTTATAAGTTTTTGAACTGATCACATGTGGAGATACTGTCTCAGCGTTCAAAACCTGGATTATTATGGTCATGTTGTTGCTTCTATGATCCCGTCGGTGATTGAACCGGTTTGATCGGCCTCTGTTTGCCGGTTCTTGCTTCTGCACATATGCCTAGATTTGCCTGTATTTTTACTTTGATATTAATGAAGGGTAATGGTTAACAGTGGAATCCAGAACGCACTTTTTTTGTCTTTCTAGGACTCGCCAGCTGGATGCACCTGCCTTCCAGTGAGCGATTTTGTCCCCACTAAGACTCGAAGCCGGCACTGATCGTGACTAGGTAACCTAGTGGGTAGTGTTCTGGTGTTTGCAGCGATCTGCCCCGGGTTCGAGCCTTAGTGGGGAAAACACCTCTCACTGGGAGGCAGGTGTGTATTCAGCTGACGAGTCCGAAAAAGGACGAAATACCCATCATGGATTCCACCGTCGTTAATTTTATTAGCTGTGGTATTTATCACTACTGATAAGTGTAGAAATTCAACTATTTCAAGTGACGAAAATAATCTGTCATTGTTAAAAAGTACTGAAGTGAAATTACTTTGTCTTCGGATACCACCTTCGAGTAGCCTAACCATGGGATGCATGTTGAATTCGAATGAAAGGCAAGGTTCCATGATTCAGAAGAATAAAGGTAATACTAAGATGAAATAAATGTTAAGCTTAGTCCTTGAATGTTAAAAGCATATTTCATCAAATTATCAACAATTATCCATCTCTGAATATAAGGTATACTGATTTTGTTTTATGCAGAGAAAATAGATAGGATAACGAGAAGAATCCCAATTTCAGTTATCTCATTTTGAAAAGCTGGATATTTGTATTGATTAGACTCAACAACTTCAATGGATTACTTGTAGTGTATTATTATTATTATTTGTCCCTTGGGTTCGTAATGGCTAGTTATACTATTTACTGATAGATATATGATGTATGCTAACACTTTTTTCTCATGTGAAAATCGCTTTAGGTGTAATGATGTGAAGTGTTGCAGTTAAAACCCATGAATAATTACACCAGATCCTATGTTATATATGCTATTTGTTAGGAGAAAATCCTTGGTCGGTATAGAGTATTATTATTATGTTTATTATTACTATTATTATTATTAGTCCCTTGGGTTCCTAATGGAACATACGGCTTCAGTAGCACGTCTCCATTCCACTCTCTTCTCTGCAGTCCTCCTGACCTGGCTCCACGACTTCCCACAAGCTTTCATTTCTTCCTCATACCATCGCCTCCATGTCACCCCCGCCTCGGACGCCCAACTCGCCGTTTCCCATCTGGGTTCCACTCGATGACTTGGCCTGGCGCGTGATGTCCCCGAATGGTCTTCTCAGTGCATGCCCAACCCACCTCCACTTCCTTCTGCATATTTGTTGAGCGATACGTTCTTGCTTCGTTCGTTCGTTGCCAGCCAGCCAGCCAGCCAGCCAGCCAGCCAGAGTTCCTCCTTGCTTATTCTCATTGTTCTGGCCATCTGAGCTTCAGCAACGAGCCAGCGTAGGCAGTTGTTGATGAATGTCTGTAGTTTGCTGGAAATCCCATTCGTAACGCGCCAAGTCTCTGAGCCATACATGGAAGCACTGACTTGACGTTGGTGTTGAAAATCCAGATGTTGTTCACGCTTTGTGCTGAGTGGAGTGCAGTAGATCTCCACACTGACTTCAGGCTAATGAACTCCTGTCTTGCTGTTTTTCCGATCCTGGCTTTGATGTTTTCATCTGTGCCGCCTGTAGTTGAAAAGTGCTGCCTAGATAAGTGAGAGGCTACTTCCTTTAAGTTTCCCCCATTGATGGTGATTGGAGCTTGTTGTTGTTGGTGATGGCGTTGGTTGAGTATCTTCATCATCTCTGTCTTCTCTATATTCACTTGAAGTCCCGTCTTCGCTGCCCTGCCCTGCCTCTTCTGTCAACTTGTTAGGGTATTCTAAAAAATTGTTAAACAATAAAAATGAATAATCTGAAAGGTGAATGAAGATAGAGACAAGAGATACTACATAATTAAGCGAGAAAATTAGTCAACCAATGACAATGATTCGACAAAAAGAGGCCATGTAGTGAGAAAATATAAAATTGTATGCAAAGTTTGTTCTGAAAGGAATTACTACTCTTGTCACAGTAAGCTTAACGAGTGCAAATAATATTTTTGAACATAAATATCAGGTTTAAGAGTATGAATTACCAATGATTCAGCTACCTACAAAGTGGTGTTGTCCAAATCGTCTGGAATTGTAGGGAGAGGGTGTCTAAATTAATTTGAAGGAACAGTTGAAACGGAGTAGATATTCTAAGAGAATGAAGTGTTCTAATATGGAACTGTTGGTATCTGTTCTCTCCCTCTCTCTTTCTCTGAACCATCCTACGAAATCATTATATAGTGCTCCACAGGAACAAGTAAAACTGATACACAAACAGACAGAATCAACGTACAATCTCTGTGCTACCGCGTGGATGCCTTCATATTGCATGTAATTCCAGTTTGATACTAATGATGGGAATAGGTCGCAAACAGGACGAAACGCGCACGCCAGATTCCACTGTTAGCCATTATCTATCAAGATTCCGTATCCTTATTGACTAAAAAAGCTTGTACAATGCCATATCGTCAAGGTAGGATAAAAATAATCCCCGCGAAAATGGAACGAAATAAACTAATCAAAGTTATAGTATCAGTTTGTTGACTGGATTTTTCCTATACATGTTTCATAACCGTTTCACATCTTTTGTCGACAAGGTGAACAAGTTTGTAAATGTTAACAGATTATTTCAATGGTGATATCAAATTTCTTCTACGTAAGTCTTCCTCACTATAATAAAACTCGCACAAAAATATGCATACTACTTGGAAAACAAGCTTATCCGTTCCTTCACATCTACAGGCTTAGTTCTTTCATCACAATACTTCAGTGAAATTTCTAATTGAAGTCATGGCTTTAACTCTACCAAAAAGGTTTGTATAAAACTTGAGAATTATTTTCGATTAAATATATCAGTGAAAAATGGAAAATCTTTTATCTGCCGCTACAAAGTTTTGCAGATGATTTTGAAACCCACTACATTGCGTTAAATTATCAAATGTATAGAGTACAAGATGCTATCAATACTTCAGTTTCTCCGTTTACGTTAAAGAAATACCGGTAGAGGGAATAGAAATTTTAGGATGTTAGATAGAATGGAACAGAAAATTTTGTTTGTACTTCGCACAGAGTTGTATATGGCGTAAATAGATATTCCACAGTTAAGAAATTTACCAGGAAGGAACTACTTGATATCTTTGATTTGCAATTTGATGTGTGCCAGAAAATAAGTTCCCTCTTCTAGGGAACAAATTGAGATTTGTCAGATGGTGGAAGGAAATGAGTAAGAAAGTTCTAATCTGGGCTTTCTTCTCTTTTACACTCTTCATCAAAGTACATCTGAGACCTTGTAGGTACGGATACCCTGTCAAAGATCCAAACCTGTGTTACCTAGTACTTTATTCAGTAATGTGATCACTGAAAAACTCAGACTTCAGCTGTCTTTCTGTAGAGCTCATATTGTAGTATGATGACCACATTTCGAAATTGGTTGCTGATACTCAGTCAGCAATAAAGACTTTCCGAAATGTTTTGACAACACTCCTGAAAGAAACAATGAGTTGGTACAGGATGATAATTGAAAGTGAAGTTACCAACCAGGTCTTGTAGTCCAATTGAAAAAGAGCTCTGAGCCCGTGGTAATCTATAGTTTGACAGTTTGAGTTCTGTCATGATTCAGCTTTTCATTTCACTTCCAACCATCAACCCATTGTCTGTTGAACCTTGGCTGAAATAATAAATAATGCGCAAAATTCCCATTTAGTAACATTTGGTTAACAAGTATACAGGCCATGAAAGGAAAGTCTCACTTGGTTTCCTGCCCGATATGAAACAGTTAACAGTGGAGTATTGGAGC